CCCACCTCTCCTTCCCTCTGGCTATCACCATACTGTTTTCCGTGTCTTTTGGTTATGTATGTATGTTCTTCGGCTAATCCCTTCACCTTCTTTTATCCAGTACCCCCTCTCCCTGCTCTCCTCTGAGAGCTGTCAGTCTGTTCCATGTATCCATGCCCCTGATTCTATTTAGTTTGTCAGTTTATTTTGTTCATTAAATTTCATATATAAGTGAGATCACATGGTATTTGTCTTTCTCTGACTGGTTTATTTCACTTAGCATAATAATCTCCAGGTCCATTCACATTGTTGCAAAGGGTAAGATTTCCTTCTTTTTTTGTGTCTGAGTAGTATTCCATTGTATAAATGTACCACAATTTTTTTTATCCACTCATCTACTGATGACCACTTGGGCTGTTTACAGATCTTGGCCATTGTAAATAGTGCTGCTATGAGCACAGGGGTTCATATATTCTTTTGAATTGGCGTTCCAAGATTCTTAGAATATACTCCCAGAAGGAGGATCACTGGGTTAAAAGGCGGTTCCATTTTTAATTTTTTGAGGAAGCTCCATACTGTTTTCCACAGTGGTTGCACCAGTCTGCATTGCTACCAACAGTGCATGAGGGTACGCTTTTCTCCACACCCTTGCCAACATTTGTTTGTTGATTTATTGATAGTAGCCATTCTGATAGATGTGAGGTGATATCTCATTGTGGTTTTAATTTGCATCTCTCTGATGATTGGTGAGCATTTTTTCATATGTCTATTGGCCGTCTATGTCCTCTTTGGAGAAGTGTCTATTTAGGTCCTTTGCCCATTTTTTAATTGGATTGTTTGTCTTCCTGGTGTTGAGTTTTATAAGCTCTTTGCATATTTTGGAGGTTAACCCCTTATCTTATGTATCATTGATGAGTATGTTCTCTCATACAGTGGGTTCCCTTTTCATTTTGTCAATGATTTATTTTGTTGTGCAGAAGCTTTTTAGTTTGATGTCATCCTATTTGTTTATTTTTTTCTTTATTTTCTTTGCCTTAGGAGACATATGGAAAAAATTTGGTCCAAGAGATGTCTGAGATTTTACTGCCTATATTTTCTTCTAGGCTTTTTATGGTTTTCTACCTTAAACATTTAAGTCTTTTATCCTTTTGAGTTTATTCTTATGTATGGTGTAAGTTGGTGGTCTAGTTTTATTTTTTTGTATGTACCTGTCGAATTTCCCCAACACTATTTATTGAAGAGACTGTCTTTACCCCATTGTATGTTCTTGCCTCCTTTATTAAAATATTAATTGACCATAATGGCATGGGTTGATTTCTGGACTCTTCTATTCCAGTGATCGATATGTCTGTTCTTATGCCAGTACCAGGCTCTTTTGATTACTATAGCCTTGTAGTATAGTTCAATATCAGGTATTGCTTCCAACTTTGTTCTTCTTTCTCAAGATTGCTGAGGCTATTAGGGTATTTTTTGGTTCCATATACATTTTTTGCAATATTTGTTCTAGATCTGTGAAATATGCCATTGGTATTTAAATGGGAATTGTGTTGAATCTATAGATTGCTTTGGGTAGTATGGACATTTTAATGATGTTTATTCTTCTGATCCATGAGCATGGTATATGTCTCCCTTTATTTGTATCTTTCTCAGTTGCTTTCTTCAGTGTCCTATAGTTTTTCAAGTGCAGGTCTTTTACCTCCTTGGTTAAAGACTTCTGTAATATTTTAATGAACTTTTAATTTTATTGGTTACATTATCATGAGCATATATTATTTATACAGTGTATATTTTTTTAAGGCTAAATAAAGATCAAAATAGCAATAGTTGCTACAGTTAAAAGTGGTGAAAATAACTTTTCAACCTCCCCTCTCTCCTACCTTGAGATCTGTAGTCCACAGGTTTAGATCTACTGGTTGAAACAATTCTTTATGAATTTGTTTTGAAGTTTTAAGCTTAGGTGTACAATACTGCCCCTTGTATTGGAAAAAGTAATGGCAGAACATAGGGTTCTTCTCATTCTTGAAAGACACATGCTAGTAAATAGGGGAAAATGATTAACAAAATATTTAACATAAATAAGACCTTGTTAAATGTAACAATTCCAACATTTAAATAGTCTAGATAAGTTTAGACATGAAAAACTTTGCTAACCTTATTTTTTTTCTCTTATCTTTGTATCATTATACAAACATTTCTACAACTATGTCACTAGAGGATTTTATTTGTTTTTGTTTTTTTGTTAATCCTCATTCGAGGATATTTTTCCATTGATCTTTAGGTAGACTGGAAGAGAGGGAGGAAGGGAGAGAGAGAGAAACATTGATGTGTGAGAGACACATCTATTGGTTGCCTCCTGCAAGACCCTGACCAGGACCTGGATTGAACCTGCAACCCAGGTACATGCCCTTGACAGGGAATCGAACCTGCGACCCTTTGGTCCTTAGGCTGATGCTCTAACTGCTTGAGCCAAACCAGCCAGGGCTTGTTTTTATTTTAAATTTATTTAATATTAAAGTAATTGTATTCAGTACTGTGTAATGTGAAGTATATTTCGAAAACACTTGTTACTCATCAAAGCATAAAGTATTTATTTCTCTTTCTGTAATTCATGGAGAGTCAGCAGTCAGGAACTGTCAGTGTATGTCTCTTTCCCACTTTTTAAAAGTTCAGAGGAATACCTTATAGAATAATATTGTCACTTAATTTTACCTTTTATAGTTGTTGGTGTCTACACAAACACATTTCTGTAATATTGTTAAAAAAACCCACACTATTCATTACAATTTAATTGTGGTTACTTTGTACTGTTAAGGGCTTTTTGTGAAAATTTAATTACTTCTATATTCCTGAAAACTTCCTAATACAATAAGCTTATTTAGGAATAATAACTTTTGACGTATAAAAACTTAATATTAATTAACTTATCTTGGTATCATTGATTGCATTTTTTTTTTTTTTTATCCTCACCCGAGGACATTTTTTTTCCACTTTTTGTTCAGAGAGAGAGGAAGAGAGAGAGAAAGAGAAACATCGATGTGAAAGAGACACACCGAGTGGCTGCCACCCACACGACCAATCAGGTCCAGGGACAAACTGCAACCGAGGTATGCGCCCTTAGCAGGAACCGAACCCGGGTCTCTCTGGACTGCAGGCTGACACTCTAACCGCTGAGCCAAACCAGCCAGGGCTTGATTGCATTCTTGTATTCAGCATTGTTGTAGCTGCTATGGAAGAAAAAAGAAATATGATTAATCCAACAACCATATAAAAACATATGCTAGATGGCATAATAAAAATAGAAAAAGCTTACTAAGTTGAAAAGACATAGTTAAGGAGTTGGAAGCCAGTTGGAGAAACAAGAGGTAAATATGTTAGGCATTGGAATGAGCTATCATGTTGAATGTTATAGGAAAAATAAAACTCACTGTTTGCTTATTTATTCAACAGTGACCTATTAAATGTATACTGTAGTTTAGTAATTATTATTTTTTTAAAAATATGTTTTCATTGATTTTTTAGAGAGAGGAAAGGAGAGAGAGATAGAAACATTGATGTGAGAGAGTAACGGCTGCCTCTTGCATGTCCCCAATCGGGGATCAAACCTGGAACTCTGGCACGTGCCCTGACCGGGAATCAAGTGGGCACCTCTCAGCCCATGGGACAATGCTCAATCCACTGAGCCACACTGGCTGAGCTAGTAATTATTGTAACTCAGTGTTCTGCATTATATGTTGATTGGCATATAAAGCTACTAAATTCTTTGTCATTCATGGTTTAGTTAAGGAATCTGTTAACAAAGGAACTGTGTATTTTAATTATGAGAGAATGTGTTTATGAGAGGAATATAGAATTAAACTTACATTACCCTATATTTTTAGAAGTCATGCATCAGTAACTAATAGAAATAAATTCTACATGGAAGATAATATGCTTTTATCCAATTAATACTTTCTATTTTATGAATAACTTCTAAGCAATATATTTTTCAAATACTGCTGCATACATTTAAAAACTTTTATACATTGAAGAATAAAAGAAATAAATCAAGGTTCAAATATTTGAACATCAGGCTTCAGAGAGATGGTTGTTTATGACAGAAGACATTGACTGATCACCTTCTCAATGTTGCACTTTAGTGTTGAACCATATATATCCTTAGAATTATAAAATATTTTTTATTGGATAAAACAAGGCAAATATACTTTTTTGTGCTTTTGATGTAAACACAAGATTTAAATTAACTCCAAAATCAGAGGCTCTTGAAATATAGAACAGTATACTACTGAATTGAAATAATCTCTTCATGCTTGCCATTTTACACAGATAGTATCATAAGACAAGTAATGACAGATTAAGACCTGCCTAGCAGAGGGAAAACTAAATTACATGACTTTTATTAAGGCATAAATAAACCTATTAACCATTATCTAGAATACTAATTAGTAGAAAGAGCACTGACAATTTTATTTATCAACATTAAACACAATTATGAATTACAGACCTGATGAATCTAGCAGTAAACAGGCCATGTTGGGGATGCCGGGACCTTGAGTCCATTATGTGAGAGGGATGATTATCAAAATCCTGTGGGGAAAGGAGTAATTGTAGCTGTAACATTTTAATTGCCTTTGAATAAGGCAAATTATATTTTCTTGTCTGAGTATATAAATAGTATGATATTAAGGTAACAGGCCTCAGTAGGTGGAAATAGAAAATGCATTTATATTATGTTTTAAAACAAGGAAAAGAGTGATGATACATTTTTAGTACCATAGTGGTCAGTGTGAATGACATACTGTAAGTACATACAGATTTTCTTTAGATATATTGTTTCATAGGCAAGCTATTTTCTGCATTTCTTTTTCACAGTAAGAATTGGGGGGTGCTTTTTGAATGAATCTCTACAGGTGAATTTGGAAATTACATAATTGAGAAAATTATATTGTGTTGTGATTAGAAGCACTGTAAAATGAACAAGAGACAATTTACATTTTTCTGTCTTTTTTTCTTTTTCTTTGAAGATCCAAATTCCAGAATTTGTGGACACTTACTTATAGGTGCAGCCAAGAATTCTTTTGCAAAACTCATGGATAAAATTAGTTTGGCAATGGAGAGTTTGCCTTTGCACAGTAGCAGCAGAAGTATTACATATGTGGAAAAAGATTCCCTGGTTCAGAGGTTGGCCCGTGGACTTCATAAAGTAAACGCATTGGCCCTGAAATATGGACTGCGGGGCCATGTACCCATTTTGGTATGTATGAAATTTCCTTAAGTAGGGACTTCAGGATTTGTGAATTTAATTCTGAATCAGACTTATTTGCAGTTTAAATTAGTTGCACAAGAATGTTATCTAGATTTCCGTTTGATTTTATGTGATCTTTTAATACAACAAAGAAAAGCACTTCCAAATAAGTGTCCAAATATCAAAATACAAAAGTTCTGGCATGAGTTCTGAATTGACTGCTCTCTGCAAGTGTCCTGCAGCAGAACTGTATGAGACATAAACAACTGTCGATTCTATTTTTAGCCATCTAGATTATTTCTTCGGTTGTTCATTTCATATAAGCCAAATTATTACTCACATAAAAAATAAAATTTTCACCTCTAAGTTTCAGTAATAGCTGGTATAGTTCTCTAAGTTAGTTCTCTAAGTTATAAATAGCTGGTATAGTTTAAGTTACATTAAATTTTGTAAAATGGTCATTGCTATTGATTTATTAGTAAATCTGTGGTTACTTCTTGTAAAATTGCTCTTGTTTAACAACAGAAGAGCACGGCATCATTACAGAAGCAGATCTTTGGATTTACACAAAGACTGCACGCAGCAGAAGTGGAGCGCCGCTCACTGCGCTTAGAGGTCACAGAATTCAAGCGAAATGTGAATGAAATGAAAAAGGAGCTCGACAAAGCTCAGGGTCTCCAGATGCAGTTAAATGAATTTAAGCACTCTGTAAGTATATATGTTTTTAAAGAACTGTGGCTTTGGTGAACTCTCCTCTGATTTTGTATACATATTTGTTTTCTTTAACTTTTTATTATGGTTGTTTTTTAAAATAATTTAAAGTGCCAATAAGAAGATTTCTTTTTCTACAGAACACTTCTTTTCTGAAATGCCCCAACATGTATTATATACTTCACGGTTGGTGGAAGATGACATCTTAAATATTCTCACCTTAAAAAAAGCAGTGAAAATTATGTGACATGATAGAGGTGTTAGCTAATGCTACAGTGGTAATCATATAGCAATACATAAATTTATCAAATTAACACATTGTACACATTAAACTACACAATGTTATATGTCAATTATATCCCAATTAAAAAAAAGAGTTAAACGAATACTGATTCTGTGTCAGGAAAACTCACAATCCTGTTAAAATGTATACTCTGACTGACAGTATAGAAAAAGGTTAAGCTAAGAAGTTAGAATAGCTTAACTGCTATAGCAAACAAGCCCCCAAATGTATAATAAATAAAATAAAACGTCCCCAATGGAGGAGCCTGATGTTTGGAGTGGGTGTGGACTTTTTTCTCTTTTTGTTCTATATTGAATATTTTGAATAAATTAGATTATTAAGTATGAAATCAAGTTGATTTTCTAGAGAAATGTTTATTTTGTCTGACTTCTATTAAGGATTTCTATGTGTTAAGAAAGCAGCAGATAGCTGAAAAAAGAAAGGCTATATGCCAAATAACATTAGATCAAGATTGAAATGTGTGAAATGTATGAAGCATTAACAAAACGCAAATATTTACATATTCTATTTGCAGTTGGGCTACTCATTAACATTGATGTTCTTAATATGGATATAATAATATAGAGTTAAAATATTACTCTGAAACTTCAAAACTGTATACAACTGATGGTAGCTAATATACATATGAATACAAAATTTGTTTCTTAAACCTAGCAACAAGCTATTTTGTGTATCCCCTTGGAAACCTGAATTTTACAACTTAAACTTCAGTTTAAGTGTATCATTTAAATGCATCTTTTGGTTAATTTTAATTTGCAGTTTTCACATTTATTGTAACAGAGACAGCAGCAGATCTCTGTTATTAATTCTATGACAATGTAAATTGCTAATGTTAAATATTATTTTAAATAGCTATACTTTCAAAGGGCGAAGAGTTCTTATAAATTCAGCATATCAGGTAATCATGAATAACCCTTCTGATTTAGTTTTCTTTTTGATGAATGTCTAAGGACAACACAGTTTTTTCCCTCATGTTCTTAGTTTTTTTGCTCAGAGAAGGAAGATGTATGAGCTGCTTCATTTTTTTTTTTTTTAATGATTATAAAGGTAATGCATAGTAGTCATAAATAAAAATATAAAAAAGTATAAAAAAGAAATTTCAAATCCTTCTAAATCTTACCACCTAGAACTGGTCACTTTTGAAGTATGGATGCGTTTTGTTCCCCACATTTTTCTTGTGTATATGTGCATATAGGAGTATTAAGTTAAAAGATTACTTTTTTTTGTATTTTTTTATTAATGAATTTGTTTTTGTTACAAATGTTTCTCATTTTTTCCCCATTGACACCCCCCCACCCTATCCTCAGCTTTGTTGTCTATGTTCATTGGTCATGCATACATGCATGTAAGTTCTGTGGTTTATCTTAAAAGATTACTTTTTTATATTTTTAAAGTACTATAAACATTTTCCTGTGTCACTTATTATTAATTTTATTTCAGATAGATTAATATTCTATCATATGTGTATATTAAAATTTGACTGTTCCCCTATTCATAGACATTTAATTATTTTCCAAAAATTTTTTGCTTTTATACTTACATCATAAAGAGCTGCTGTGTGTACTTTTAAAAGCCAGTACTTTGGGAGTGTGTGTCTCTTTCCTTTTGATTTGCTTTCAATTGCATATACTAACTAAATTTGGGATCTTGAGATGTTCTGCCAACATGGAAAGAGTGAGCCATTGATGCAATTTGAGATTTAGAATACATATAGGCAACTATATTTAGGTTTAGCTAATAGTGGATTTCCTGAAAAGGGAAGATTCTTTATATTTGTTGCTTCCTGAAATATGTTTTAAGAATTCTAGGTCTTCTATATAACATGGTTTCCTAGTTCATAGTTAAGTATTAGGAAAAGAAGTTAACATCTTATCTATGATTAGCTTGGAAGTAGAGCTCGGTTTCTAGAATCTAGAGAGGTTATAAGAATTTGAAGAAAAGTTGCTGGAAGGTAACAGAATCCTTCTTAAGGGCTTTGGTTGAAGAACTGGCTTGCATCAAAAGCTAAGAATATGTTCCAGGAAATGTTTTGTGTGAGTTCCTTCCATTGAAGTGTAGAAATAAAAATAGAATTAATAGAAGTAATAATTAAGAGAATGAGATATGTAATTTTTATATTTTGACATATAATTGTAAGGTGTAAGATTGTCAATGCAAGAAACATCCAAATCTGTAGAGAATTTTTGACTATTTGAGTCAAACTGATGATGGTTGCCTGGAAGCAAAATCTTAAGGGACTGAGAAAATGCTCTGAAAGATGGCAGTTTTGCAGGTTATTTTATACATTACAGTTAAAGGAGGAGACATAGAAGGAGGGTTACTTGAAATGCATTGGAGTTGATTAAGAGGGCAGGAGAAAGCAAAGTGGGGACATCTCTGGGATTGGATAAAAAGTGAAATTGAGAGACATACTTCTTTTACTTTGGTGAGTATGGAATAGTTAATAAGGAACATTTGCAACACCGCGATGGAACGAACACGGGGAACAAGATAACAGTGACTCCTGCTGTGGTGCAGGCATGTGCCCTGAGGGGTCTGGAAAAGATAACTCTGACATTGCAAAGGTCTGCTGTCTTAGACACAAAAGAATAATACACAGGCTCAGTTAAGGTCACGATTGACTTTGGTCAAGGAAACCATAGGAGTAGGATGTGACTGTTGAAATGACCCACTTTTAGTTAGGAATTTTTATGTTCAGACCATGCTCTGTGGTTGCTTTCAGAGTCTGAGTTTGTAGGGCCCACCATGCCGGCCTCCTCCGAGCTTGTCAGGTTATTATGTGGTCCATTTATCGTCCACAAAGTGAGTGAGTGATGATGTCTAACATTTAGTGACATACTGACATATATATATATACATATATATCAGACATTCACCCTAATCACTTTAGGGTATTGATTTATTTCTCTCATATCATTAATATTTCAATGCTATTATTATCTTTATTTTGCAGATGAGGAATATGGGACACAGAGTAGCTAAGTGACTTGCCAAACTTACATAGTTAGTAAGTGGACATTACAGGATTTGAACTGGCTAGTCAGGCTCCAAAACTCATACTTTTAATAATTTCATTGTAGTAGTTAATGTTCATATCTAGTTGTGTTAATAAAGGATTATTTTATTAAAAATGTAATAGATTGGGGGGAAAGATACTATTTTCCTCTAAAAAATTGGGGAGTGTGCCTGCCACCATTTATCTTTCACTAATTTCAGGCAAACCATGTAGAAAGAAAATATAATAGCTTGTTTAGATTGATCTAAAATTGTAGCATAAAAGGAAATATTTAGCCTGACAAAAGCTATTCAGTACTTGCACTGTTTTGAAATACCATGTTCATCTACTTACAGTTGTTCTTAAACAACTTCCTGCCATAATCTTATTTTGTTTTGTTTTTTAGCTTCTTACAATTGCTTTCACACACCTTCCCTTTCTTATTCTCCTTTGCTGTACTTGTTCACTCCTGTTTACTTGTAGAAGAGTGAATGGAATCGAGGCAGTCTCTGGCAGGGATAGATGGACAAGAGAGAGGCTAAAACTGGCTAACATTTTTGGTAAAGGAGAAATTCTGGAGGAGTGGAAAGAAGTCCTGCAAAATGGCAGGGATCTGGATTTATAGATGGCAAGTAGATTGCAAAGGACAGAGTGGTCTGATGGCAAGGAGCGACAATTTAAAACAACATAACAAGTAAAATGTAGAGGAAGGACAACAATATTTGTTCACAAGTCCCAGAAGAGTTCTGTGACGTTGGGGAATAGAGGAATATTAAGAAGTTGAGATGGAGCTGGAGTGCAGAGAGGAGATTTTACCATTGATGTTTTCAAAGGGAAGGGTTTACTTGTAATGGGACAGTATGGAGAGAGAAGCAGCTGTTAAGAGGGATTATAAGGATGTGTTCCCTAAAATCTAAACACTCTGTATCAGTAATGTATTAGATATATTTACTAGCCCACTTTGAGTAAATGAGGCCTTTTTCCAATGTGCCTTGTGATCATTCTCATTATTTTGTATTAACTAAGGTTAATAATTAGGAATCTATTTTTATGCTATACTGTTGCCTTTTGCAACTTAATCAGTATTGAAGAATGCATTATATACACCTTTGAAAGAAAAATAATAGTAAAAGATGGTTGCTTCCAGGAGGTAGTAGGCCAGGTACCTGGTGCCAGAATAAAGCTGAATATGTATATATTATAATATAGAAAGACCCATGTAATCAATTTATCCTCACACTTAGTTCCAGCAAGTTTTCTCTCTACATGAACCACATGCTTGCTATTGTTGGCCCAAGAGGAAACTATAACTAAGTACATTTCTATTTTTGTCTCATTTGTCAGAAAACTCAGAGGTAAAGTCCACATTCAACTGTAATAGTTTACATATTTCAGATGCCTAAAATCAATAGGATTTTTTTCCTGCCCCCCCCCATTAGATTTTTGTTGTTTTAATCCTCACTTCAGGATATGTTTTTATTGATTTTAGAGAGAGAGGAGGGGAGACACACACACACACACACACACACACACACACACAGAGAAACATTGATCAGTTACCTCCGGTATGCATCCCTACTGGAGATTGAACCTGCAATTTAGGTATGTGCCCTGATCCAGAATCAAACCTGCAACCTTTTTGATGTGTAGGATGATGCGCTAACCAATTGAGCCACTCAGCTAGCTCCCCCGCCCCGCCCAAGCCCCGTTAGATTAAAAAAAATTAAATCAATTTTCTTTTTGTTTGTGGTTAATTATATCAGTCTACTTCAAATTGTATTCAGCAATGGGAAGGTTATCAATCTGAAACATATATATGACCTGCATGGTTCTTACTTTTTAAAAAACTTGTTTACTTCAAGATCAATAGGTCTCTTGTTTGTTGTAACTAATTTTCACTTGTTGAAATGTTTTTTTCTTTAATCCTCACTTGAGGATATTTTTCTCTTTATCTTCAGATAGAGTGGGAGGGAGAGAGAGGGAGAGAGAGAGAGAGAGAGAGAGAGAGAGAGAGAGAGAGAGAGAGAGAGAGAGAGAGAAAGAAATCCACGTGAGAGGGACACATTGACTAGTTGCCTCCTGCACGACCTCAACCAGGACCAGGGACGAACCGCAACCCAGGTACATGCCCTTGGCCGGAATCGAACCTGCGACTCATTGGTCCACAGGCTGATGCTCTACTGCTGAGACAAACTGGCCAGGGCACTTGTTGAAATGTTTTAAACAGGAGATAATACAAGGGGTTCTTCCCTGGATTCCACATCCCTGAGGGATGGCCCTCTGCTAGGATTGTCATTTGCTATCCCAGAGAACAGTGCTCTGCTCTCCAAAGCAGCCATGCTATTGTGTATTATGGTGTACATGTTTACATAGGAATATCATGTCATTCAACAAATATCTGTTGAGCACCTACTGAGTGCCAGACACTCTTCTGTGTGTTGGGTGAGAAAGCTGAATGAGGTCCTTGCCGAGTGTGGTTGGTGGCAAGGTGTGGACAGGTGATAAAAAGTGAACAAGTATATGAGATGAATTTAGATAATGATAATGACTGTAAAGAAAATAGAAGATGGTATGATAGTGTGAGTTGTGGTGGGAGTCAAGAGGGCATGTTTGACCAGGGAAACCTGGAGGGTAGCAAACACTGAACAGACTTTCAGGTAATCATTTAAAACACAGAAACTTGTTAAAGGCTTTATTTCCACAGACATAGTTTTTGTAAAACATGCTCATGTATCAAGATTTAAACTGAGCATTGTGGATTTACTTGAAATAAATTTCCCAATATTTTATTTAACTAAATGTGAGAACTTTGTAAATATGGCTGTTGTACTTTAAAAACCAGAGTAATTTTTTTATCTTGAGTTATGAAATTAAGAAAAAAATTGCATTTTTGTCATGTATCAGAAATTTATAAATGTTTGTATTATACTCTTTATGGTGGCAAATACAGTTCTGAAGACTAAATGATACAAAATGTAGTTACCTGATAGTTGAATTTTCCCCCTCCTTATTCTAGAAATTGATCACCCATGAGAAGTTTGAAAGTGCATGTGAAGAACTGAATAATGCATTACTTCGGGAACAGCAGGCACAAATGCTATTGAATGAGCAGGCACAGCAACTACAGGAGTTGAATTATAGACTTGAACTGCATTCCAGCGAGGAAGCTGACAAAAACCAAACTCTGGGAGAAGCTGTTAAGGTAGGAAGACATTCCTTGCATAATGGTTTGTTTCTTCTAGGTGTGGTCCTTGAGGGAATCATGTCTTATCTCCTGAGTAGGGAACTGATCCCAAGATATGAAATTTTTATTCCCTAAGAGCTTGTAAAGATGGAATGAAACATGATTCTGGGATCTCAATTCCAAGTAGAATTCACATGTATTGAAAATGTAAACGTAGGCTTTACTTGATAGTTGAAAACAAAGTGGAATTTTTTTCAGTAATAATATTTTTAGTTTTATTTATCTTTCTTGTTCCTTCCTCTAGTTTTTTTTTTTCTTTTTCTTTTTCTTTTTCTTTTATTTACCTGTTTTGTGCTCTCTGGACCTTCAAACTGCATATCTGTTGGATTTTGAAAGGTTCTGTGTCTAAAGAGATAAACCAAAGAAGTTTTATGCATATATGCATAATCAATAGACATAGACAAGAATGCTGTGGGTGGGGGTGAAGGGGTCGGGAGGAGAGTTTAAATGGGGGAAAAGGAGAAACATCTGTAACAAAAATAAATTAATTTTTTTTTTTTTTTTTATCCTCATCTGAGGACACTTTTCGATCTTTGGTTCAGATAGACCGGGAGGGAGAGAGGAACATCGACGTGAAAGGGACACATTGAGTGGTTGCCACCCACATGACCCAGCCAGGGCTGGGGACAAACTGCAACCGAGGTACGTGCCCTTAGTGGGAACTGAACCCGGGTCTCTGTGGACCGCAGGCTGATACTCTAACCGCTGAGCCAAACCAGCCAGGGCCAAAAATAAATTAATTTTTTAAAAAAAGAAAGGTTCTAGGTTTAGTTCTCTCTGATTCTTATATAAGAGCGTGGTCGGAGATGAAGGAGGTGTGGTTAGAAAGAGTTGTTCTCCCTGTTATCTATATGAGAGAAAGGTGTCTAGAAGGGAAAGTAGAAGTTACAATAAAATAGTTGTCATTTAGAAAATTTTATTAATGGATTTAAGACTGTATCTTTTGGAAATGTTGGGCATAAAGTATAACAGGATTCTAGGTTATGATTATAATACTTATGCAGTTTTCACTACTGAGGTTATACACACTGAAATGGAACAACTAATTCCAGGAAAACCAGAATGATGTGACATAGCCTCTATATTGGGTATCATACGTAATAGAGTGAGCGACTCAGAGTTAGTATATAATTTATTGTACAAATAATATATATTTATTCTAGTAGCTAAATACGAATACTACTAATAAAATTGTCAAAATTTATTGAGAGCTTCCTGTTTGTCAGGCACTGTGCTAAATAAATACTTTATAAACAGTTATCTCGTATAATCCTCCCACAAACTCTATGGGCCTATTCTCATTTTGTAGATGAGAAAACTGAGATATGAAGAGGCTGAGTAACTTGCACAACCATTAGTGATAGGCTGAGGGAGTCAGATTTCACATCTGCCTTCCTAACCACCACATGTGTGTATTAGTGATTGACAGCACACATGTGCCAGGCTCTGTGCCATGCTCTCCACAGGAGTTATTTCATATCCCTCTTAAATTACTCCTGTCAAATAGGTACTATGATTATTCCCACTGTTTTTTGATGAAGTGAGAGATCACACTGGAGTTGCTCAGGGTCTCCTGGCCTATAAATATTGAAACTGGGATTTAGTTTTAAGAAAAATTTGTTTAAAATTATTTTAGATTTAGATGTGTTCCAGTTTCTTTTTTTTTCTTTTTTGCTATTAGAAGTAATTCTAAGATGACCAACCCTGTATACATATCTGTGATTATTTCCTCAGGATAATTTTCTAGATGAGAATTACTAGATCAAAAGCCACGTATGTTTTAGTGTAAATATTGTCAATTGCCCTACAACAAATTTTTACCAGTTATATTATCTCCTGAAATTTCACTGTTTACCCAACTTAGCTACTACCATTTAAAATATTTTTCCCAATTTGATCAATATGTCATTGTTCCTCTTTGTATTTTTTTGGTTCCTAGTCAGGTTGTGAATATTTTTATAAGTAAATTGGTTATTGAACAACAGTTTTATGCTTCATGTCCCATTAATAGTTAATGTAATTAATCATGCTTTGAATAAGCATATAACTGTGTCATATTGGAGTTTTTTCTCTTTGCAACAGCTTGTAGTTTGTGTTCAGTTATAGTATCTTCCAGCAGATAAAAAGCTGTTTGTATTAATTTCTTTAAAATGCCAGCAGCTTAAATATTGTTGTCAGGAGTGGAGAATTGTTTAATTACTATCTCTTAATTAGAACGAGCAGGTGGTAATGTGAAAATGCTCTTGTGGGAGGCAACATAATTCAGTAGAAAAAGCATTGGCCTTGGAACAAGTATTTCTGAAATTCTAGTTTTGTCACTGGGCAAACAATTTAACCTTTTTGAACCTCAGTTTCCTCTTCTTCAGAATTAGAGATAATTATACTTAAGTTATAGAAGTTTTATGAGATTTAATTAAGACACTGTTTGAAGCAAGTATATGCTTGATAAATATTTTTTAATTTTTTAATAAAACTTGAACAAGTAGTTTATGTGTCCTGTGCATAACTTATTTTAAAAAATAAAGTATATTTTTTGTTCTTTATAAAAACAAAAATCAGGTAATGAATAGAAGATATGGAAAACGACAGAAGGAAAGACAAGTTACTTGTAACATCATTTAAAAACAACCACTGTTAACATCTGCAGTTTTGTTTTTAATCATTTGTTCTATATGTAATAGTTTTTATAAATCATAATTTGGACTTGATGCTCAAAATGTCCTTTCTTTATGATTCAGCTATATTTCGGATAAGACCCTTTAAAGAGTAAAGGAAATCTCCAAGGATAAAAATATAACAAACAACAGCCCCAACAAACTCCAATGCATGGAAATCAAAGTTAGCACTGTGAACAGATGCTGGGCAAATGCCAAATCTAGTGCTGGAAGTAGAGGACTAAGCTTTGGGATCCACACGCTGATTGGGCATTGGACCTGAGACTTCTATATTAAGGAATTGCCTAATAACTTGAATGGGATAATCTTAGGTCAGTAGTGTCTAGAAGCTAATGTAAATTTTTTTTCTGAAAGAAAGCTTGCCTAATTTACTTCCTTCAGGAGTCCCCACAGACCAAGATCAGCCAAGTAACTGGCACTTCCATAAATACACTTATATTCATCCACATTGCTAAACCGTCTTATCAATTTGAATAATATTTCATCTGTATTTTGTAGGGTTTTCTAATTAGACCATAATATTATTTGTTCTATAGTGACAGTTTGGTCTCTCCTTTTCAAACCTTAACCATTTAATTTTTTCCCTTCCTTACTGCACTGGCTGGGATACAATGTTGACTACAAGTGGAAACAAACAGTAGGCACCCTAACCTGTTCCCAATCCTAAAAAAAATCTTTCTAACATTTCTCAGCCAAGAAGGATGTTTGCTACAGGTTCATAGTTGATAATCGAGGGTTAAGGGAGTTATCTTCCTATATTATGCATTATTAAAAAAAACATGAATAAGCCCTGGCCGGTTTGGCTTAGCAGTTAGAGCATTGGCCCGCAGACCAAAGAGTCTCAGGTTCCATTTCAGTCATGGGCACATACCTTGGTTGCGGTTCGGTCCTGGCCTCAGCTGGGGTTGTGCGGAAGACAACCAATTCATGTGTCTCTCTCACATTCATGCCCCCCCCCCCCGACTCTATCTGAAGATAAATGAAAAATATCCTCAGGTGAGGATTAAAAAAACAAACAAAAAAGCAAAACAAAAAAACCATGAATGAATGTTGGATGTTATCAAATACATTTTATGCATCTATTGAGATAATTATATACTTTTTTCCTTTTATTATGTTAGAATGTTGAATTATATAACCAATTGACAACTATGTCCCACAGCCTGTACATGAATGGCCTGTGAGCTAAAAATGGTTTATACATGTTTAAAGGACCATAAACAAATACACAAACCAAAGAAGAATATGTGACAGAGACTGTATGTGGTACACAAAGTATTTCCCATGTAAAGTATGCTGACTTGTATAGCACATTAGTCAGTATTGAAATGGTAAGCCAGCCTTGCATTACTGAAATAAACCCCACTTAATTGTGATGATTTAAAAAAATACATTGCTGCCCTGAGTTTGTTAATTTTTCACTTAAGATTTTAAAATCTATGTTCCTTATAATTTACCTCTCTCATATTATCCTTGTCAGTTTTTGGTTATCAGAGTTTTGCTAATGTGAAATGACTTCCCTTCTCACTCTGAACACATGGAGTGGAAACTAGATAAATATAACAAATGCATTGCAGGGTATTTAGCCAAGCTAAAAACAAAGTGAGCAAAATGCTCAGATACTAGAAATGAAGAGGATATTCGAAACCAAACAAGAGAACTGAAGTCTAAATAGCTCACTGGGGTGTGTAAACCAAGCTGGAGGCTAGAGCTGATCATCTTAGCATTAGGGAAATGTAGACTTCAACCCGTTTTCTGTGGACCAGGAAAGAGCTGCCTGTGTGAAGCTGGGAGTCAGGAGGGCTTCCGCACTGTGAAATGGGGCCTAGAACTTCACTGCCTGCCAGCTCCAGGGGAATTTGATGTCTGCTCTGGACAATGGGTAGGGAAAAGTCCCAAAGAAATTGGAATCCCAGGCCTGTACCACAAAGGACAGCAGTTTACGTTACTTCTATGTCCAAGGACTCTTCAGCTGAGAATTATCTTCAAAATAGTCCAACCCTTGTAGAACCAGTGTGACCTCATAGAAGGAAATATGAAATATGAAATATGAAAATATGCCATAGGGATGCTTCAGAGAATACACAAAAGACTTTAATGAAAAGTTCAATATTACAAAGCACGTAAGGAAATTACTTGTACATCAAATGAGAAAATTTGCACCTCAGGTAGGAATGCTACATAAAATGTTGAAAGGTAGTTTAAAAGATACTTTAAAATAAGTGTTTTTAAGTGTTTTGAGAAATAAGATATAAATAGAAATTATAAAACAAGAAATGAAAA